CATCCTCGCGAGGCACGTTCGATTCGAGACGCCTCGGCGACCGGTGTTGCGCCAAGAAGCACCGTAAATGGTTTCTTTTATAGTCCGGTGAAACGCGAAACACACGCGCGTACACGCGTGTACACAGGCGTTAACCGGTGTGCGACGGTTACACAGCGAAACAGCAAAGAGTCGAGCTAATTATCGCGATGAGCTATAAAATGAGGCCGGCTAATTTCCGTCACCTGTTAATTGGCCTCTAGCATCGCGCAATTATTCGAATTTCACTAATCAGCGCGGCGTATGCGCCGGCATTCTCGGTCTCCCTTTGGCTTATTACCAGTTCCCAACGTACTTCTGTGTTTCGTCGAAAAACAGATTTGCGTGCGCGAACGTATAATCCATGCACGCGCCACCGACACGGTGCCAATCCGCTCTCGAATTATTTACCATTGTAACGTACAAACGATCAAGACGATTAACGAGGAGGAGCTTTTCAATGGAAAACCACCGTGAAATCTGGTTTGACACGGCGAGCGGATACGATTATTATTAAAAGCTGGATCGCGCGAATCGCCGGCGTAATTTTATCGCATTCAACGAGACTCTTTCAACGGGGAGAGATCATCAAGGGTGAAAGTCTTTTTGAACGAAAGCGAGCAAGCTCATAAACCGAGGCGATTAAGATAATGGAAAGGAAGACGAGTCTGACGGAAAGAGACGGAGCCGGTGGCACGGGGCACCGAGTAGGAGGAACGAAGTCGTCTGACGTTCACAGTGAAAGGAATTCCGACCTCCAGGATTTAAGACGCAATTTCCCTGACGATGTCGCGCGTCATCCGTCATGCAGCCTGCGCGTTGGAACAATGGCCGACTAAAATTACGCATTCCAATTACAAATAGATACGCGTAGCAGAACCGCAGACGTTTCGTTCATTTCACTCGTTCGGGCAACGTTATGTCTTCCCCCCACGCCGGAAGTGCCAGGCGGCTCCATCTAATTCCCGTCTGCTTAAAATTCGAGTAAAACTGTTCTTCCGGAGGTAGACCAACGCGGGCGTATATCAGGGCGAAGCGTCGCGATCACCCGCGCGCCGTCGTCGTTAAATTTCCCGACGAGATCGCGATAAGGTAATTACGCCGTGTCCGAGGATAACGGCGCGAGTCGCGCGCGAAAATTTCGCAATACACGCAATAGCGTATAGAAATAATCGTGACCGCGCTCTAACCAAGGTAAAAGCCTCTCCGTGATCCGTCCTTCCTCGAAACTTTATACTCATCCTTGGACCAATCACGAGCGCAGCCCGTTGCGCAACGAGTCTCGGCATTGTTCGAAGGCTGTCAATTGACAGCAATCGGCACCAAAGGTCGCCAACGCGTCGAACCACGCGATACCACGAGCGGTATCACCTGCCGGATCTGTATTAACAGGTATTCTTACGTAAATCGTGGGCGTGCAACGATCGGCCGAGCAACCTAATCCGGTAATATAAGCACACGCGTGCAAACGATTGGCCAACGATCGCGTGGATCGACGCGCGGTGTAACACGCGTCCTGGACGAAAGGATACAAGATCTCGTGTGCCTCGGCCGGACGATCCATAATCAAGGCCACGCGATATTTCACGGACGGAATTCTCCGTAGATCCGACGTGCAGATTGCCCGCGAACGGATAACCGCGAAGAAGAAAAGTCACGCAAAGTCCCAGCAGGGTGGTGATCCTCGAAACAGGGGCGATATCGGGCGAAGGAGGAAGCGGATCTCGCCACGAATTTTTCAACCCCTTTTCGACTAATCGACGTCGTTCCTCGTGTTCGACGATCCAGCCCGGGGATATTCCGCAGAACACGAATCGAATTACGCGTTATCGGGAGCGGTGATGCTCGGCGTGGCGAGAAAAACAGGGGAACGATCGAGGCGTTGGAGGAAACTTTCTCGATCTCTCGGATACGGCGAGAATTCGAGGAACCAGCCCCCCTACGGTTGTAAAAGTTGTAGAATTCTGTAGGAAAATCTGGATCGAATCAATCTTCCCCGAAACAATCGTTCCCTCGGTTGACTCGTCTCGAAGACCGTTCATACGCGTCGAAAGAAGTCGTGGAAGTAGAAGAAGAAAAGGAAAAGGAGCAAGCGGAAGGGAAAAAAGCGGGGCTCGGGAAAGAAAGGGGTCGATACAATAAATCAGGATAAATCTCGAAAGCGGCGGAGCAATAAATTCGACTTCGTTTATCAGGCAGAGTAACTTCTATTCGATTCCTCGCCGGCAAGCCCTTACGGAAACTTTGTCAGCCTGATGGGGCCGACTCCGCTGCAATTTTATCCCGTGAAACCGGAAGTTTTCGGCAGAATCTCGCTTAAACGGGACGCAGGGAGCGGCGGGTCCACGTGACCGACACCGAGCCTCGATGAAAATCCTCGGCTAATGTATTCCGAAGCTTTCCCTCCGCCATCGTCTTTTCTCGTCTTCCCTCGTCTTCTCCTCGCGCCGCGTCCTCCACAGTCAATCCGATGCTGGGTCAACCAGTAATCCACTCTCCCACTCTCATACTCTCTCCTTCTCTCTCGCATTCTCTCCCTCTGGATCTCTCGGATTCGACCTTTTCCTCCGGACTCTGCTCGTTCCTGTCTCTCCCTCTCGGAGTTCTCGAGCCGAGCCGCCCACGCGGCCGCGCGTCCTCCGCGCTTTTGCATCTCACGTCCGCGCGGACGTAGCGAGTATCGCATTCCACGCATCACCCACGCGAAACTGGCAACCGGCCGACCATCGGAGAAGAGAAACGAGAGAAAGAAGGGCAAAGGAGAGAAGGCAGAGGGTGTCGCACGTGCGAAGCGAGGCGGCGTGCGCTACGTGCCACGAGAAATCGTAGCGGAAGCGTGTGAATAAAAGAAAAGCTGTCGAGCAACGAGACGTCACACCGGTCGAGATGTAAAAGGTAGAAGCAGCGAAAGGTAGAAGGTGACGTTCTCGGAGGCGACCGAGATTACGTCGGACGAAACGAGACACGGCACGATCGGGTATTCGCGGAGAGAAATGGAACAAATGGACGCGAGAAGCGGAGGTGACGCGAATCGCACGCGCGAACGGAACGAGAATTTTCCGTGAAAACCGCACGCGATTATGCGAAACGCAACGAGCTGTCGAAGCCGGTCATTCACGGACGGCGAGTTTCATCGGTTCGAGAACGGATTTCGGTAAACGGACGGGACCGAAAATGGCTCGATAACGAGCCGTTCTCTGGCCGAATTTTTGGTTGCGCGAGCTTTTCAGACACGGAGAAAATAACGGTGCAGGTGCGTTCGCGTGCATACAATCGCGCGCCAGAGCTGCCAGCCTGAAAGCCCCGGAGCGGTGCAACGTTGCTGTGCACACGCGTACCTGTGCCGCGTTCGTGTTGGCTGGTATATACGCACGGCATGTGCAGAGATGTACATATACATACACGTGTCGCGCATCGGCCAGAGAACGTTAAATGCAAAGTGCAGGCGGACACACGAGCATGTGCAACGAGAGAGCGCGCGTCGCGCTTCACTGGGCAGGCTTGTGTCGCTCGTAGCAGATTCGTACGAGAAACAAACGATAGCCAGTGACAAAGGAAGTAAAATAAAAGCGTGGAGAGAAAAGGCGGTGGAAAAAAGGCGGGGGCCGAGGGAAACGGGGTGACAAGTAAGAGGGAAAGAAGAAAGAGACGTGGGAAGATGGAGCGAGAAGGAAGAGACGAGAGGCGCCATTTAACGCTCCAGGCGGCACGGTACACGTTTTCGCGCCGACCTTTCACCCTGCGCTGTTTCTTTCAGTCTCGCACTTTTTGATAATAGTACGTCTGGAGGCGGTGTACGATGGCGCGAGAATTCGCGCGGAAACTGCGAAATCGCGCTGATTTCCGTCCTACGGCTGGAAACCGAAAACCGAGAAAGGGATCGTCGCGTTTCTCCTTTCTCCGCGACGACGCTTACCACCTCGAGGAACGCCGAAAAAAAAAGCAACACCCCCTCCGAACCCGGTGCATTAATCAGGCTAAAAGCTCCCTTCCCGAAACAACCACTGTCTCCCACCGACCCTGCGCTTTCGGCTTCCTGCTGCCACTTTCCTCGCGCCCTTTTTCTTACGAGAATTTCCGCGCGATACAGTGGCTCGTTGCAGGTAATACGACTACACGGAGCCGCACAAATGGCACGAGTTCCGGTTCAAAGACAGGCAATTCGATATTAAAACGACCTGCAGAAACTGGCAGGAATCTCTACGTCGAAACTTAATGCGCCGTGTACTCGGGGCTAATTGGAGCGAAAACCTCGTTAATGTCCCCCTAACCCGTCGTCTGGCGTCGAGCTTCCTAGCCTAGCTTCTACTTCTACTTCCGGCCGAATGTTTCAGCGCTTCGAGCGACGCGGGACTAAACGAATCTGCGTTTGCGTTTACGCTCGCGTTTCCACGGATCAGGATTCCATCCTAGTCGGCAGCCCGGAGCACCGGGCTCCCTGATTTCGCTAACGCGCCCTGGCTACTAATTATCCGCGAATTAGCCTTCAAAGGAAGCACGGAAACCGTCGATGTTCCGAGATTCATTCGTTTATCGAATTCGGTTAAGAGGCTCGGTCGGTTATTTACAGCAACGAGGCTCGGTTAAATACACCTGCCGAACCGGCGAGCTTCGAAAGAAAGTAACGTAAAGGGGAATACTTTGCGAAAGATCGCGCGGTTCCCCGAGAGAGAAACCCGTTACGTGACATTTAGAAATCCATCGACATCGTCTACCTCACCGTCGTGTTATTCCAGACTAATCGTTTCGATTGCCTTCCTCCTCTGTCGTCGCCAATTGCAACTCCGACGCTGATCATAGTCGTCTAGGCTACCCCCCTTTCGCCTTCGTACGTACGCGTTCCAAGAACCAACGACCTGGACGTCTCCGTCGAACGGACCTACCCGAAGACGTATGTACGCAAATACCGGTCAGACCACTGTCGCGGTACACGAGCAAAAAAGGCATGCGAATGGAGGAGAGTCGTTGGATAATTCGCTCACCTTCGAGCTCGACGACCTTGCCGGCCCTCTTCAGCGCCTTCACCGCCTCGTCGTGGGTCGCCTCGCGTAGATCCTCCCCGTTTACCGCCAGGATAGCGTCGCCCACGTACAGCTGCTCCGTGGCATCCGCCGCCATCCCCTTGAAGATCTTCGAGATCAAGATCGGCATTTTGTTCTCTTTGCCACCCTTGATCGAGATCCCGAGGCCGTTGTTGTCGCTTTTCACCACGCGCACGATACGTTTCTGATTGGCCACCGAGTCCGGCACGTCCGGATCGTTCAGGCTGTCCACGTTGTTGTTGTTTATGTTACCGTTGTTCAGAGTATTGTTGCCCGTCTCGCAGCTCTCGTCCAACGAGATGCTCAGATAATCGTCCTCCAGCGAGACGAACACGCGATACCACTGACCACGAACTTGCGTTTCTAAGACCCCGGCACGTCCGGACGCCGAGGACGAGGCAGCTGTGGTCGTCGTCGACGAGGACGAGGACGACGTAGCCGCGGACACCACCGAACCGACCCCCATCACTCCCATCGCTGAAGTCGGTTGTCCGCTTCCGCACAGCTCGACCATTTCGATTTCCTCGCAAGCTGCACGCTGAAATCAGAAGATCAGTCGCCATTTTAATCTCGTCGAGCCTGTTGGGGTTGCTCGGTCAAAGTTTCGTCGCGGTAACGTGGACATGTCTTCGTTTATAGACGCGAATATAGCGTCCGGATCGAACTGGAGGATCGAGACCGGCACACGATTTAGATCTCGATTTAGAATCGTAACGAGTTAATATTCAGCGGGAAGGTTGGAACATGACGGTACAGATTCGATCGATTCGGCGACCTTATCGGCGCGGAACGCGTTTCAGGTTTCTCGTACCTGTAACGTATCTCTCCGCGTTATTGCATAGCGTTTTAGTGGAATCGAGGTCGGGAAACTATGCCCGTCGTCTGCTTCGTTACATTAACGTTACGTCCGTTTAAAATATTCTGCCCGCATGTACGTTTACGTTCATTGACTACACCGTAGATCCAATCTCCCCGCACGCGAGTTTCCGCGAACGAAAACGACGTATTTTCCACGGTGCTCGAATGCACGCGTCGTATAGCAAATCGCGCAGCTTTTCCTCGTGTTTCGCCGATACCGGATCGCGTGGATTCTCGCGACGATGCAAACTATACGACGAATCTCGGTTCCCGAGTGAAACGAGATTATCATCGATTTACCTTTTTCGAAAAAAAAAAGAGGGAAA